TAAATAACTATTAAATTCAGTTTGTCAATGGCTCAGTGTATGAACTTATTGGAACTTATTGGTCTTACTGGAGTTTCTCTTGTGTCAGGTGTTAGATACTTGTGCAGCTCCWGGCTCCAAGACAAGTCAAATCATTGAAATGCTGCATGCTGAGGAATGCAATGGCATACCAGGTGACTTCTTCTTCTTGGTCTTCTTTAAAATTATAACTTTATTTACTTGATGTAATGTGCAACTGAAGCATCTTCTTTAGACCTGGATATTTATTTCAAAGTGTTTGACATTCATGAAAARGTAGTTTTAAAGTGTGCAGGAAAATTCTGAAAAGAATTGGAAAGCAATAGTGTTGAAGCTTAATTTATTGGTCTATGTTATCTTGATTTGTTAACAGTTTTTGTTCATTATTTCAGATGGTTTAGTCATTGCTAAYGAGTTACAAAATAAGAGATGTTATATGCTGATTCACCAAAGCAAAAGGTTACGCAGCCCTTCTTGTATGGTTACCAATCATGATGCTGCGACTTATCCTACAYTTTATGTTAARAATGTAAGTAGTATGATGTGCAGCATTCTTGAAATATCCAGTGAATGAATGGATCCATGCATCCGTCAGTCCATTCCATCCTGATCCATGGATGGATTCATCATTCATTCAAAGTTACCACACACTAGTTCATTTCTTTATTTCTTTATKTTCATTATTCATTTGTTCATTTGTTCAGTTAGTCGGTTAAATCATTCAATTAATCCTTAGAGTATTAAATTCTTCAYTCAATTATTCCTTCATGCAATTTCTTATTTTTCATTCTTTTATTTTTATTCATTTCCTTGTTTATTCATGCATTTGTTCATGCATTCATCTTTTGTTATTTATTTGTTTGTATTTTTTTTCACAGTACAAATCTTTCAGTACATTATTTTTTTAATAGGATGATGGCAATAAAGTTCCTCTAAAATTTGACAGAATTCTCTGTGATGTACCATGCAGGTTTGTGGAGCATCTTGATTTTGAGATATTATCTCATAGTTTACTTTTAGTATGTATTTCTTTTGATGTTCTCTCACATTAATGTAACTTCCTTAAAGTACCTTTAT